TTGGAAGCTGGCGATGGGCAGAAGTTCGACGTCATGTAGAAATCCGACAATAAGTTGAAGTTTGGCGTTGGGTAGAAGTTCGATGAAAGTCTGACGACATGCAAAAGTTCGACGACGGGCAGAAGTCTGACGACTGGCAGAAGTCCGGCATTGGGTAGAAATTTGACGACAGTCGACCGCCGAATGGAAGTCCGGCAATGGTCGGCAACTGGGCGGTGGTCCGACGACGGTTAGGTTGAAGTCTGACAGTGGTAGATGGTCGGGCAGAAGTCCGACGAAGGTTCACAATCGCATGGTTGTCTGGCAGCGATCGGTGGCCGGTGGAAGTCCGACGACAATCGATAGCCGGGTGGAAGTCCTGCAACTGTCGGAGGCCGAGTGGAAGTCCTACAACTGCCAGCGGCCAGGCGGTGGTCTAACGAAGGCTGGGTTGAAGTTCGGCGCCTGTCGGCAGTTATGTGATGGTCCGACGATGGTCGGGTTGACGTCCGGCAGGGGTCGGCGACCAGGTTGGAGTCCTCCAACAGCGAAGGTTGGGCAGTGGTCCAATAAAGGCTAGGATGAAGTCCAGTAGTGGTCGACATCTAGGTGGTGGTTCGATATTGATCGGGCTGACGTCCGACGGCTTAATGGGAGTCCGATGGCAATCAGACGCCGGGCAGTGGTCAAACGACGGTTGGGCTGAAGTTTGATGTCGATCGACAACTAGGCAGTGGTCCAACAATGGTCAGGCTGACGTCTTGCGGCGGTCGACGACCGTGTAGGAGTTCAGCAATGGTTGACGGCCAGGCGGTGGTCCGATAATGATGGAGTTGAAGTTCGATGGAGGTCGACGGCTGGGCGGAAATCTAACGGTGGTTAACTGCCATGCAATTGCCTGATGATGGTCAGGCTAAAGTCCGGTGGCGACCGGTGGTCGGATGGAAGACCGGCGACGACCAGCGGCCAGGCGATGGTCCGACAAAGGTCAGGCTGAAGTCTGGTAATGGTCGGCAACAGGGTGGAAATCCGGCGGTGTTCTGATGTCAATTGATGTGGGTTCGCCGCAAGGTGGTAATGGAGCTCTGAAAGCCTCAAAGCTCTCTATAATCTTTAGCCCAAAGGGTCCCCTTCATGTAGAGATTGGGGGTCTATTTATAGATTTTCATGTCAGCGGCCGGTGGAAGTCCTGCGACAATCGGCGGTCGGGTGGAAGTCCTGTGACTGTCGGAGGCCGGGTAGAAGCCTGCGACTATCGGCGGGCGGGCAGTTGTTTAACGAAGGTCGGGATGAGGTCTGACGACTGTCGGCATTCATGCGGTGGTCCAATGATGGTCGGGTTGACGTTAGGAGGGGGTCGACGACCAGATGGGAGTCCGCCGACAATAGAAGGTCTAGGTGGTGGTCCAACAAAGGCTGAGATGAAGTCCGACAGTGGTCGTTAACCATACGGTGCTTCGATAATGGTCGGGCTGACGTCTGCTGATGTCTGACGGCCTAGTGGGAGTCCACTGGCAGTCGTTGGCTGGGCGGTGATCAAACGACGGTCGGGCTGAAGTTCGATGGCTATCGACAGTCGGGTGGTGGTCCAACGATGGTAATGCTGATGTCCGACGGCGGTCGGTAGTCGTGTGAAACCCTTAAACTTTCAAGTTATTTTTGGAGAATTTTTTTTTTTTTGTGCAGTTAGTCTGTACGAACTGAACAAGGTGCAGGTTCGTTTGTACGAACCGTCAATTCGTTTGTACGAACTGAATATTTTTTTTTTTTACAGAGCCCATTGTCCTGGGATGAAAATCAAATATCGTCCGTACGAACGTGGTCTGAGGACATGATAGAGCCGATCGTCCCGGGACGAATGTAAATTTTTGTCCGGACGATTGTAAATATCTTTTTAAGCACGGTTTGATTTGTTTTGAAGAGAGATAAAGAGGAGAGAGAAAAAGGAGGAAAGAGGAAGAAAAGCCAAGTTTTGGCGTCTTCGGTCCGTTTTGTCTGTCGCCGTAGTTTGGAAAGTTGATCG